ACGGATCTGGAGGATTGGCAGTTGTTACGCGCCAGGTTATTGATAGCTTGGGATAGCTGGAGGAAGACTAAGTCCTGCAGAGCTAGACCTTTGTTTTCATCGTCTTCCAGGTCTTCCGGAGGATCATCATCCAGATCACCCCCACCATCTCCGGGCAGGTTACCACCCAGAGGATACTCGTTGTTGGAATCATTGTGCAGAAGATTTCCAGCAGATGTAGGTGTAGGGGTAGTCGGATGGGGATGGTTCATGAGTTGTGAAATGCTGGAGGCAGCGCCTTGCACACTAGCGCGGCACTGAGAGAAACTGAGGAAGGCATCGACTATGGGAGTAGAGTCCCGTCAGGTGGTTACTAAACCGCCACGTTGAGAACATTCTGTGCCTGTATAGGTGCCTCAGTAAGGTGTGAGTTCAAATATACTGTTAAGAACGCGCTCAAGGATCAAATCCGAAGGGCTTGGCTTCAGCTCGTGTGCTGTGCCCCTAACTTCCGAGGGCTGTCGAACAATGTCCAAAGGTTACCAGATGATGTCCGGAGGGCATTGGGCGATGTCCGATGCGTGGGAATTCCAGCGGACGTTCAGGAACAGGAGATAAGACTAATCCGGATGAAGTCTGAACTAGAAAGGAAACAGCGGAGGACTACCAAAGGTAGAGGTGGAGATGACAAGTCTATAGGAATCAACTCTAAGATGAGCGGAGGTCGACGAGAGGATAACTCAAGTCGGACAGAAGAGGGAATGAGCAGAGTCTAAGATAATATTTGAACTAAGGATGTACATAGATTCTACAGGGTTTATATACTACTCAGGACTTATCAGAGAACCAAGAAGCACAGTCCGAAGCTATACAAAGCTGTGGACGGAGCATATAGAAAAGTCAAACACTAGTCTATCGGAAAATAGTAAATGAATCTGGAGATTAGATCAGAGGAAAATCAAGGGTGGAAATGAAATGAGATATGGAAAATGATATAGTCTAACTGGAGTAGGAATGTACAAAGGGATAAGGCACAGAAGTTAGACACGGGTCGGATCCAAACATAGATAGACGTCGGCCGGATCCGGATGTCCGGAAATGATGTGTGTGATAAGTCCGGGTCCAGAATGCAGGATATGACACAAACCACATGAGCTGGCAACCCCTCCCAAAACTGTCACACTTTACTTCTTAGATATTAATGTCATGTGACTGAGTCTTATATAAGTTTCATATGGGTTTCATATGAGTTTCACTATAACAGTGAGATTTTTAATGCTATATGACTGAGTTTCATATGGGTTTCATATGAGTTTCACATGAGTTTCACTATAGTAATGATACTTTCAATGCTATATGACTGAGTTTCATATGGGTTTCATATGAGTTTCACATGAGTTTCACTATAGTAATGATACTTTCAATGCTATATGACTGAGTTTCATATGAGTTTCACTATAGTAATGATACTTTCAATGCTATATGACTGGGTTTCACGTGAGTTTCACTATAGTAATGATACTTTTAATGCTATATGACTGAGTTTCATATGGGTTTCATATGAGTTTCACTATAGTAATGATACTTTTAATGCTATATGACTGAGTTTCATATGGGTTTCACATGAGTTTCACTATAGTAATGATACTCACACAAAGTGGATCGAAGGAAGTCATAGCATACCCCATAGTGTTTGCATTGTGGTTTAAATGCTATATGACTGAGTTTCATATGGGTTTCATATGGGTTTCACATGAGTTTCACTATAGTAATGATACTTTTAATGCTATATGACTGAGTTTCATATGGGTTTCATATGAGTTTCACTATAGTAATGATACTTTTAATGCTATATGACTGAGTTTCATATGGGTTTCACATGAGTTTCACTATAGTAATGATACTCACACAAAGTGGATCGAAGGAAGTCATAGCATACCCCATAGTGTTTGCATTGTGGTTTAAATGCTATATGACTGAGTTTCATATGGGTTTCATATGGGTTTCACATGAGGTTCACTATAGTAATGATACTTTTAATGCTATACGACTGAGTTTCATATGGGTTTCATATGGGTTTCACATGAGTTTTATATGGGTTTCACTATAGTAATGATACTTTTAATGTCATATGACTGAGTCTTATATAAGTTTCATATAGGTTTCATACAAGTTTTACTATAGCAGTGATATGTCATATGATTGAGTCTTATATGAGTTTCACAATATCATATGACTGAGTCATACAGGTCACTTCTTTTAGTTTCCTGGCCTCAGCTACATCCTAATAAGCATTGCAAAGATATATTGCATCCCTTATGCACATGCAAACCTTGCATCATAGGTGTTAAGACTGTGCACAGAGGATAGGACTAATTCTGAGAGGCTTGGCTTCAGCTCATGCACTGTGCCCCTTACCTGAGTATGTGCCCTTAATTTCAGAATGAAGTCCAGAGAAAGTCCAATGAAGTCCAAAGGACTTCCAGATGAGCATGGAAACTTTGGAAGGACTTTCTGGTCGAGTGTGAGAAACTTCCAAAGGAGTGCAGAAACGTTCTGGAGGAACTTCCAGAAATTTCAATGGAGTTTTGTCCTCTTGATAAGAATATGTATGAAGGCTATTCAGGACAAAATCCTGAGTAAAATAAAACTGAGGAAGGGCTACAGGGACAAGTCCAATTCACATTATGCACAACATCCTCTTGACATTGTTCACTCTGATATATGTGGGAAGGAAATTGAAATCATGTTCTGTGCAATATGAGGAATCGACCAAACTGACATATCTTCAGGTCCAGGTCAATTACACACTAGTGGATTCAATGGTACAAGGTTCTGCACACATGCCTTTTTTCTGTGCTTTCACATTACCTGGTTTTACTTGCAAAAACCATTGCACTTGAGAGTATCTTTTTATTCCCCAACTGTTCATAGTGGCAATACCCTCAGGATAGAAAATTCTTGCTTTAGCAAGTATAGCAGTTTGGCGTAGCACTGACCCAACAATACTTCAATGTACTTGTACTTGTACTTGATCATATATGGTCATACAAATATAGTGATATATGATAATAGTGGCTCCTCCACTTATACTTGATCATATATGGCCATACGAATATAGTAATATATGAGAATAGTGACTCCCCTTGTTGACCTTGACTATCTCCTTAGGAGGTACTCCGTGATACTTACAAATGGGGGGTAATTTTGCAACCAAAAACTGGAGAAATCCATAGGATAACATTGAGAAATGTGGTGAAACTCATATGGTTTGATAATCACAGCACATGTTGTATCCTATGACTTATGTGTAATGCCCTTATAAAATGTTATATAACACCCTGATAAAACCTATGTGAAACCTGTATGACTCAGTGATATGATATGAAAAGTATATGACATGAATCTGACTGCTATAGTGAAATTTAGATATGAAACCCATGTGAAACATATATGAAACTCATATGAAAGTCAGTCGTAAGATATGAGAAATATCACTGCTATAGTGAAACTCATATGAAACCTATATGAAACCTATATGAAACTCATATGAAAGTCAGTCATAAGACATGAGAAATATCACTGCTATAGTGAAACTCATATGAAACTCACGTGAAACCTATATGAAACCTATATGAAACCTAGATGAAACTCATATGAAAGTCAGTCATAAGACATAAGAAATATCACTGCTATAGTGAAACTCATATGAAACTCACGTGAAACCTATATGAAACTCATATGAAACTCAGTCATATGACATGAAAACAGTCACTGGAATACATGAAACCTAGATGAAACCTATGAACTACCCCCCCCCTAGGGTGGGCACGGAGAAACCTATATGAAACTCATATGAAAGTCAGTCATAAGACATGAGAAATATCACTGCTATAGTGAAACTCATATGAAACTCACGTGAAACCTATATGAAACCTATATGAAACCTAGATGAAACTCATATGAAAGTCAGTCATAAGACATAAGAAATATCACTGCTATAGTGAAACTCATATGAAACTCACGTGAAACCTATATGAAACTCATATGAAACTCAGTCATATGACATGAAAACAGTCACTGGAATACATGAAACCTAGATGAAACCTATGAACTACCCCCCCCCTAGGGTGGGCACGGATTCGGGTAAGAGCGAACAAAATTTGTGACATGTCGGATTTTTGTCTGATTATAAGCTAGGTATGTTTAGAGTCGTATTATACGCGCTGTCTCCCTCTGATTAGGGTCTGACTATTTTCTCGTTTCTGCAGTGATTGGGTCGAGAGTACGGAGAAGGCTGAAGGCGGTGAAAATAAATGAACAAAGACAGTGAATCATAATGTTCTCAGTTGTACGTAATCAATTCCCACGACATGTTCATTGACAGAAAAATGAGCATGTTTGCGTCTGACAAAACCCTTCTCCCACTTCGTGGGAGTCGGGGATTGAAATGTGATTAATAAATTGGCGATTCTCACTTCCAATTTTGACACTCGCATAACAACAAATTTAGATACATGGTGAATTGACAATACAAAATCGCATATTTTGACAAAATTTTTGATTCCCATCAAAATGAGTGAAAATAGTTGAAGTTTTCTTCTACAAAAATGACTATACAAACATGAAATTTCGTAAACAAATTTTGTCCACCTGTTAAGTACAAAATTTTGACTGGGGAAAAATGTCCTGCAAAATGTTATGTAATGATGGGCATTTTCCCATTGCGGGAAAAATCAAATTTTCAAGTAAGGTGAAATGTGATAGAGAAAATGTGAAGTTTTAGCAGGTGGGCGCTGGTTGGGCATTCAGCGGGCGATCATTGGGTATTCATTGGGCACTCATTGGGCACTGGGGTTTTGCCGAAAAATTAGATTCAAAAAGATGCTATATGTACTTAGTCCATATGTAGTCTATCGCTGTGGCATCTGTGCCCGTTCTACAAGACACATCTGATCGAAACGCAGAGTTGAGCTAGACCTGGGCGTAATCGCAAGCTCCGCAGTCATTTTCTTGATATTGCACTTCACAATGGTAATGATTTGTCCGCGAGAAGTACCGTCTAGAACGAGACACTCTTGATTTTTTTTGCGTGGAGGAGCTGGGCTAAGGTCCTTGGCAGGAATATGATAGTGTTGAAGGGCGCCGCCGAAGTTGCTAGATGTGCAGAATGCTGCTACAGAACCCTCCGGTGTGGGTCCATTATCACCAAGGAAGGGGTCTGGACAAGCCGTTGATACAAAACGATTATGTAGCCTTCCATTCATGAATCTCAGTGAAACTTTCAGCACTGCATGATACATAGTGAGTAGCGATGAAAATTCCTTCCCTATCAACCATGATAGTGGACCTGTAATGAGATGAGGCAAATATTGAAGTATCTCCATTGAGTACTCACCAGGGAGTTCTTCTGTACTAGCGTCGATATTATCCTCAACATTGACAGTCCAGGGATCGAACATTGACGAGCTGGGAGTGACAGGAGACTTATCCGCTATATCTATAGCTGAATTGGCGGACCAGACGTCCCACATGGACGATCGGCTGGGAGCTGTGACAGCCGACGAGCTGGAGTCGACAGGTGAGGGGGTGATACTTGGAGCGAGTACCGTTTTCTCAGGTGGAGGGGTAATGCTTCTAGGTGGCGACAAGTATGAATTACTCCATATGTTACAGAAAGAAATCATGTCCAATCCTTCGAGTATCGCGCCGTTTAACCTCATTCCATGCCTTACAGTCGTGAACAATTGTCACTACGGAAATGTGCGCTCTGCTCACCTGGTGGCAATGTCCTTGAGTTTGAGTGTTGTGCGCGCCTGCCCATGCACAGCAATGCTGCAAGTATCAAGTGCGAGACCATATAGTGTGGCTCGGTAGCCCTTACGAGCACCCGCAATAATGAAGACTTCTTGGCCGATGACATTGTTGAATGAATCCAAGCTTGTGTTACATATTTTCATCACAAATCGAATTGGAACATTGATCTGGCACAAGTCAGAGATGCCCGAATCGAGTGAATTGTGCTTACGAGTGAGCGGTCAACGTCAGATAGTAGGTTCAAGCGAGCGTTTGGAAAGTCGACGCTTTGCACGACCCCTTTTGTCTGATACTCTGGCCCACGGACGACTCTCACAACATCTCCAGGCCTGATATCATACCCCTTTTCCTTCGTGTATTTGAGAGTGCTGGGGATGTATGCTCGTTGAACCATTGTTGCCGGAACTCGAATCCTCTGGAGTTTGACACTGGATTCCTCATCATCCCCAGTCGAGATATAGTTCTGACATAGGAACCAGAGGCTGATTCCTCCAATAGGAAACCATTCCACAATGCCGCGTTTCCCCAGGTGCTCTCCCGCACGTACTTCTATATAATCCCCAACTTCTATAGATTTGGACTCGGTGGGAGGCTCAACATGTTGCTGTGTTGATTGAAGCGTGACACTCAAAGAACGACGATCTAAGTAGTATTTTGAAACCTGCACCTATGTACTGAATG